AAAGCATATGTATGTACTACACACCGATTCGGATTTGAGTGGAATTAAATTAGAATCATATGCTAAAACATGGATTTCAGATGTAAATAAGTATTTTAGAAAAATTTTGAACTGTGATATTATGGAGAGCATTGAGTGCATTTCGGAATTGGCTTGAATTCTAGCGTTGCCTCCAACATATATTTGAAATGTACATTGAGTAAGAAGACGATAAACCACATTATTTGTAGACGAGATTTATTAAATGAATGTTCTACACAGAAAACACCGTGTTTATTCTACTCATTTTTACTTCTTTTTTTATTTATAACAAACGAATACATGTGTTAAATACGTTACCTATCATTATGGAACCAATACAGCGTATATTTTGTATCAAATCTATCATCTATGTCTTCATTTTAGAAATCAACCAGTTTTTCTTCAACTATGGTAAAATTCATAGATTCAATAATTTAAAAATAAAATTATTTTCCAATTGAATTATCTGTCACAATACGATCAGATGCGTTCACATAAAATTGTTTTTATGAACGAGAATTTTGTAAGTGTTCATTAACAGATCGGATTTTTAGTCAAAAAAATTTTGTTTGAATAAGGCGACTCATCAAAGTCATAGTCACTCCTCTATTATTTTAATTTTTTGAATACATTACGATACCAATTAGATATATTTCCCGCTGATATAATTTGATAATTTAAAAAAAATCACGCTTCAGACCACTTCGTCGACAAAATTTGCAAGAGAGAGTTTAAATTATTATTTCACGATTTACATAAATTACTAGATAATTTCCTTTATTGTTGATGATTAGAAAGTGTTTAACTGAGTATACGAGAAACAGTATCAGAAAAACACGCTTGGTTCGATTAAAAATACATTATCTCTATGATTTTATATTACTAAGTTAAGTAATCTTCAGTTGGAAAACGGTAGATAACAATAGGAAAACAATAAGTTTCTAAAGTTGCTAAGAGTAAGAAAAGAGAGACAGAGACATAAAAGTGTTCTTTGTTCAACAGCAGTTATTTCCTCTGTTTTATGTTGTGACATTCATTTAAGTATTGCACAACTTTTTCTTTTAAAATATTATAATTTATTTATCATATTTCGTACAATATTTTTCCTCATCTTTTACTATTTTTTTTAATTATTTTTACATTTTTATGTTTATAACCTATTTTTAATTCACACATATATTTTGTTTAAAAAAGTCATAGATAATAAATAATAAAGTCATAGTAATAAATGCATATCTGAAATTAGTGGCAGCAGCAGCAGCAGCAAGTTTTTAAAATCCATTTTTGCACCGTTAGTATTTTGAAATTCTGTTAATTTATCGTAATTTGTTGATTTTTCTCTTTTAGAAACCAATCTCGATTGATACACTAACACGTGCGATGTGTTGCTAACCAGTTTAGTAATCAATCACTAACAAAACAAATGAATAATCATATTTATAATGACTCACATCAAATTAGTCAAATCAATGAATCTCCTGTTAATGGTCGTTCGTTAAACGATACTAATAATAATTCTCTTTTGCCAAAATTAAATTTTATTCAATTACAGAGTACTTATGCATCAGTTTGTCCATATGAAGAAGGAAACGACAAAAGAAACTCAACTTCAGGTAACTGAATTAAGGATGAGGAGAGAGACAGAAGTTTGATGCAAACGGATTTTAAAAATTAGCAAATCTGAAGCAACAAGAGTTGAATAAAGGGAAAGTATATCATTGACACAAAAATCATGTATCTGATTTTAACAAAATAAGTATCAGCTTTCGATGTTAGCCACACGTGATCATTTTCAAGCGAATGAAAACAGAATTCCGCGTTTTTATTTTTGTTTCTGCAATCATCTTCGTACATGTATTCTAATGCACATACAATATGAGCAATTATGTTCACGAACTTTAGTTCAGTTATTATTTACGCAGTTGAAAAATATGTTTCCACAGAGTATGAAATACCAGACATACGGATCTCTACCTGTTGTGAGAAATTAATCAAGAAAACACAGCTGAGACGTATCAAAACACCAATTCGAGTCGTACGATCATAATTCAGCATTAGGATCAACATATTCGTAAAACTAAAATACAACTTCAGTATATCAACTTCAATATGTCAACTTCGATAATGTTGAAACATAAGAGGTTAGGCGCGATTGGCGAGGAATAGTCATTAACGTAAGCCTATTGACGCATCATGTTATAGAAACGATTACTAGACGCTACGGCGTACCATGTATTACACGATATTAGGGCGCAGTGTCAATAGTCGACTGGAAAACATCCCTGATGCGTTCGTTACAAATCAAATGTTTTTGCTGAAGCATACTTTCTGCAGGAAGTCTTGAATCGATTTAAATAGTTTAGGCATCCATTCACAAACATCCACGCACTCACCCTCGCTCCCCAACCGACTTATTCTCCGATTCAGTGCTGAATAGAGTTGTTGCACCCTAGAGTCGGTACACCTTTTCGTTGTATATTATATGTTTGTTGAGTATAAGTACTCGTATGTGTTAGCAAATAACTTTCCTGAAAAAGAACTTTATTGACAATAATCGTGCACGGATACGCACTGATACTGAATGACTTCTTTCTAGGCATCGATGCGAGAATTTTGCTTTCTTTCTGGCATCAGTGTGCGCTGATATAAAGTATACTTTTATAAACAATAGTTCCGATACTTGTTCGGTACCAATATCACTCTTTGAACCAATGTAGCAGTTTTCCGAAACAGAAAGAATTTCAGTTTGACATTGATGCAAATCAACGCGGCACTGATGCTAATCCGTACTTGCTGGACACCAGTGCCAGCCAGATTGACCTAGGGCATGCTGTACATATTGAGTTTTGTTAATGCCATACTGAAATTTTTTTGCACAGTAATTGGCAAAGTAAAAAACCCATAATGACTTTCTTTCTTATACGCTTGAAAATGATTAGACTAACATTGAATGCTGATAATCGCTCATTTTATTAAGATCACATATAGGATCTTTGTATCAGTAATATACTTTCTAGTGAACCAGTATGAAGATTTTCAAATAATATATTTGAAAAGTACAGTAAAGTACTATCAGAAGTAATGTTTAAGATGAATGTTACTAAGTGGTATGAATTCTTTCAATGGCTTATGTGTTAATCGACTTAACGAAGCATTTCTACATAGTTTACTGCATCTGTATGTACTTTGGGTATTTTTTGAGTTATATCAAGAGTTCTATTATCCTTACAAATTTAAAATTTTCCGGTTCTTTTTTAAATCTTACGAAAGAACCTTCCCAGGTGTAACACCCCGTTTCCAATGATTTATGTGCTGATCGATAGAGGATAGTTAGCTAGTAAAAGTCCTAAAAGGATTTGAATTCATGGTACTTCTTTCAAAGTTATGAACTTCTTTTGTTGGCCTGTGCAAGGGAATCTACTAATACAAAATATTCCATAATTTTGATAGACGTTTGCGCTCATAGTCGTTGATTGCACATGAGACTCGTTTAAGTTTTCCTTTAGGACCGTCCAGACTTGTGGCGGGATGTTGGCCGGTCATCCTGATGAATAGCATCAGCCAGGAGACCGCTGTCTTCCTCCCGATGCGTAGAGGCTTTCACCGAGAAAATGTTTTCTTTGTTGGTCAGAGAGAACGTTTCTGTAATAATTATAGATATCTAGCACAATAAAAAACTTTGAGCTGTTAATTCGTTGTTTAGACTAAGTTATGGAATATTTTGTATTAGTAGATTCCCTTGCACAGGCCAACAAAAGAAGTTCATAACTTTGAAAGCAGTACCATGAATTCAAATCCTTTTAGGACTTTTACTAGTTAACTATCCTCTATCGATCGGCATATAAATCATTGGAAACGGGGTGTTACATCTGAGGAGGTTCCCTCATTAGTGTATCGTCTTTTTCACAAATTTAAAAATAGAAATAAACGCAAATTTTAAACTTTATTTGCCGCGAAAAACATCTTATTCTGCATTAACTGTTGTAAGTGGGGTAACCCGCTATTATATGGTCCATATACGTTCTGCTTATAATTACTTGCGCCATTTGCTGCATCTTTTCGAGTAATTGCGAGTTATAAAAAAATTTAAAAATAAAGTGTCATAAATAGTTGTCTCCACTTTATAAGTGTTCCCGTATCCTTTTAATTTCAGAAGTATATGCGTCTCCAAAAATACCCACTAATGGACTGGTAGGTGATTGAGAAGAGCAACTAGACGGATGGTCTAGATTTTCCGTGGGAGGAATAGTCACGTTATGTTATTTTAACCTCATATATGTTGAAGTTAGAACTCAAAGACAGTAAAGTTCTTTTGCCTAGGAGAAATTACAAGTTTAATTTTGGTAGAAGCACCATTTGATTAAACTATATATTGAGTTTTGACAGTTTATTTTATAAATGACGGCAATTGGGATGTTTCCGTAGTCTAAGTATCCTATAGAAAGATTTTCGAACATCATATTGAATAATAGCACTTGAAGTGTCAACGATACTTTTCAGTTGGTACGACTGAACCTTTCTCTGATCTTTCTAAGACTAACTACTACATGAATTTTTATCAACTAAAAAGGAACCCTTGTCCTTTTATGATAGTCATATATCATTATTCATATATTCATGTACTGTTCAATTAGTGTTTTGAAAAACAGAGAGCATTTCATAATTTAAATACAAAACGAAAATGCGTTTTGTATAGTTGCACATACAAAACCCTTTTTAGTTTTGCAGTATACTTTTCTCAAAGAGTGTAAGGTGATAAAACAGAATCGAAATGTTTTACAAGTGATGCTATTGATGTTAAAAATGATAAATGCAAACTCGTTTAATCCAATTCAGTTTCAGTCGATCATGTGACATCGAATAATAATAATAATAATAATAATCTGAAAGTTTCATCAGAATGTTCCAGTGATTATTACCATGATTCATCAGCTACTGACAGCAAAACAACAATAAATGCATCTGAAAATACTCGACTGATGTCTTATCGCGGCTTACCACATTATTCTCCAGTACCTTTAGAATCAACAAATTCTTCAATTATTAGTTCAATATTGCCGTCATTGTCATCAGTTCCAGAAAAGCCGAACACTAAAGATCGTATTGTACCCTGTTTTATCGATAATTACATTCTAAATGAACAACATCACAGACGTTGTATATCAGATCCTGCCGATTTTCAACAAAAACAACAACGACATAAACGAGCAAAAACACTTGATAATATAGTTTCACTCTTTCCAACTATATCTAGTCAAGAACCAATTCGGATTATTCACGAAAATTGCTCATATCCAATCGATGTTATTTCTCGCACAAAACACACGCAATCGTTTCGTCGTTATATTGATAATAATGACAATAGTGACAATAATAATGCCAATAGTGTGTCTAAAACTAGTATGAATCGTATGAAATTAAATTTACCTAATGATTTATTTAAAAAATCTCATGCATATAGGCGTTATCACTGTTCATCTCCTTCTGAGGCATTTACTTTATCAACGAATCCTCCTATTATGGTAACTGTTGAATCTGAAAATGAAATAATATCACCAACCCTATGTGAAAACTCATTGATAGCCCCATCTCATATTTGTGATGAAAAATGTATAATGTTGAATGATAACAGTATAGATGCAAATGATATTCAAACAAATTTAAATAATACACGAAATTCATATTCACATAATTTTGTATCTTATTTTATGGATCTTCTCAAACCAGGTGATAATAAATTGGCCATGAAATTATTTGGATCGAAAAAAGGCGTGTTGAAAGAACGCTTGAGACAACAAAGAGCAGGATATTGTATTATTCATCCGTGCAGCAGTTTTCGGTATGTTTTACAAGCAAAAAACTTATAATTTTTTGATTGGTAAAAGGTGAGCAATATTGAGTTTAAAAGCTTTTTTTCGTATGAAATTCGTTTTGACAAAGTAGAGCAGTACTAGATAGATCTGATTATGAAAGGCCATTTATTAACAAGATCTTGGTAGATCGATCCCTGTCTCACGAATTCAGGTTGTATGAAACTTAAAATATGATTAAAATATTTTAAGTATTAAAACTTTTAATAAGGAATAGTAGTTTGCGAAAGGTGTAAATTTAACAAGAAAACTTGTGCGCAGCACAATTGCTCGCTAGTTTTATTTTCTTCGTTCTGTCGTCCTGATTTTTTTGGCAAAATGTGCACCTTGTGATCTAGAGAAGTATGCTACGTAGAAAATGTCTGAAAACGGGAGGATAATCTCCCGACATTGGAGATTGATCGATGCACGTTCTTTTTTCAACACTAAGTCAGATTCGGCGCCATAAGCTACAAAAGTGGAGAAAAAATGTATTTTGGACTTGAAAGTTTATTAAATTTCATTAGCATCAGTTGTCCGCGCCATTTGTCCTTAAGAATAAAAATAATTCTTTGTCATTTCTGTTTCTCTGTTCTTTATATTTCGTTCTCTGTTCTGTTATTCTCTCTGATTGTGTCTTTTAAAGTAACTGAAATAGAAAATCACGGTGAAAGCGGTGCAGTGGAAATCTGCTGATTACATTGATAACTTTTGGCAGCTATTAGTAGAGACAGAGTCTGTCGACATCGCAACTTGTGCGAAGCACAATTGCTCTCTAGTTGTTTTTTATTATCTTCCTTCGTCCCTTTTTTAAGCAAAATGTGCACCTCGTGATCTGATACGTAGAAAATGTCTGAAAACAGGAGGACAATCTCTCGACATTGGAGATTGATCAATGTACGTTCTTTTTTCAAAACTAAGTCAGATTCGGCGCCATAAGCTACACAAATAGAAGTAACCCCCTCCATAATAGAAGCCTCCGGGGCTTCTAAACTGTCCACGCGTTCAAAATTTTTAGGGGAGGACTTGTATTATGGGGGGGGGGGGGGGGGGGGATAATTATAATATTTATGAAATTAATTTAGAGAAAAATTTTTTTTTATTTATGTAGTAGTT